AAAAAAAAAAAAACTGTGAGAGAAGAAAAAAAATAAAATGCAATTAATTGAAACAATAATAAAAAAACGAAATAAAAAAGTCAGTTTGAAAGTGAAATAAAAAGAAGCATTTTTAAAAATTAAAAGAAAAATTTTTTTTTTTTTTGCTTTTTTTTCATCTTCAAAAAAGAAAAAAAAAAACAAATTTTTTCACAAGACAATAAAATTAGAACAAAAAACAAAATGCTGAATTTGATTAATATTATTATTGTTTTATGCAATCTGTAAAGCAGAAAACCATAACTATAATACCGGTGCCAAAAAGCTTAAATTTATCAAATTTCTGAGCTTATAAAATAGGTTACAGATACGCTGACAGTTGTATTGTTCACAGCATTTCAGCGGTTCAAACTCTGTGTATATAAATTTTGTAAATTTACTAATCGGTGCTTTGAATAAATCAAAGTATAGAGTTTTTCAAAAAAAAACCTTACAATTTGCATTGTCTAACTGTATGTTTAAAAAGTTTTTGGGTGTGTTTTGGATAAGTGGTAGGTGTCTAAATGAGTGAATAAAGTTAGCAGGTTTGTAGCAACTGAGTGAACAAGCGAAAACAATAAGTTTAATCTACAATGAGGAAGGAAATTAACAGAGAGAAAAGTTCCATTTTTTTTTGTTTATTGCAAACTGTAATTGTCTATTGTTATATCGGTGCTGTCCGTCGTTGTTGATGGTATATTTTATATAGTTTAATCTAAGAGAGTTCACCACTATTTTCATTTATTATATGCACAATAATTTTCCACTACACTAATTTATTTTGTGCACCGAAAAAAAAACCCTCAATTTGATGAAACTAAAAAAGAGAAAAAAAAAAAAGGAAAAGAAGGCGATAAACAAATGAAAATTACTTTCAAACAGAATTATGGATAAAAGAGCACAACCAAAATTAGGTAAAAAAAAAAAAAAGTATAACAATAATAATAATATTCGCTTTACTAAAAGCACTGTGCTTGAGTCTCATTTTATACCACTGTTTTCTTTTGTTTTCTTTGTTTTACTTCTGTTTTGTTTTCTGTTTTTAATATGGGAAGAAAATGTTTAGTAGAAACTGAAAAAAAAAAAAAGGCTTGAGTAACTATAAACAACATATTTTTGCGGTTAGTTTAAAAGAGCTTTATACTGTGAAAGACCTGTTAGGATATTTCACAAATAAACTGCCTAACCTTATGATGACCTATTTATTGAGTAAATTCTAATTGTATTCATCATGCTTATTCCAGCGGTACGAGAAGACCGCATGAGAGGTGGCAGGAACAAATTTGGTTCTTATTACAAAAGGGACCGAGCTCAACGGATGCAACGTATAGCCCTACGTAGCAATGCCAACCAAACCTTCTTCACGCAGCATGTTGCCGATCATCACGTATCCAGCAGGTTTCTATAAACAGTTTCTACTTTCTCTCCGCTTATCAGGAAATAAGCACTTTCAAGACAAAATATAGTTTGCATAGTTCTGCGTAGAAACCGAGCAGATTTTGTAGTTTTAATATGTAAAAAAACCGTCTGTCATTACCATTATTTCAGCACGCCTGATCAGACGACGCATATTCAGTATTTTGAGAATCATAGCAACCAAAAGTTTAAAACCGAATACGATGCATTACTTCAGTCACCTACACTGTCAAGTAGTACACAGTCGTCAAGTATATTTCCCCTAATTTTTGCTTACTCGCAACTGTTTGATCAAAAATCTTTTAACACTTTGTTTACTACTGATATTCATAGTGTAAAGAACAATATAGTAATATTAATTTTTAACTAAAGTATAGTTGTCGATAAAGCTTGGATAGAAAAATATTTTCCGTTTGCAGATTTTGTTATGCAGCGGCCAACGACATATTTTCCAAACTGTGACAATTTAGCTGCATTACTCGGCTCTTCAATTGACGATCCGTTGATGAGAAGTTCATCGTTTCCAATATATTCGTGTGTAAAGCCAGAACCGTTCGAAGGTTACGGCGAAGCAAATTTTGCTCCCCAGCCTCCACTGCCCGACTACGCAACATTTTGTCCAACATCGTCTTACACAACCATGTCTGCTATGGCACCTATATCAGCCACAAGTTCAGGTTCAAATCGGTCGTCACCTTTGCTTCCAATATGTCCGGTTCCAACGGAAAAGACCGTCGACAATGTCTTTTATGCACCAAAACAAACGGAAATGCTAACAAGTTGTCGAGCCAGTTTACAGGACCCAAATTTGCTTAGCCACCTTGTTCACAGTAAAAGCAATAAAACATGCGATGTATTCCAGTTCTGTAAATCTGTCATAGAGGATAATCTTAATCAATTAGTTAACTGGGCCAAAAATGCTCCATATTTCGATAAGTTCCACGTAAGTGCATCATTCCTAGAATTTTCCGCCACACAACTAAAAATGAGACATTTTTCATGTCAACTGTTTGTAAAGCCCTTATTAGGTAAAGAAATACGTATGCAAATCACATGACTGTTGAAAAGACTAGGAACATTGGCAAAAGCTACAAATTAGACATGTCAATTTTCTTACCCGATTTTAGTTGACAAAAAAGTATTGAGGCTGAATAAATGCTTGATCAAGTTTGTTTAGGTCGACGATCAAATTGCAATGCTTCATACATCATGGGCTCCGATTCATTTACTTGATTTTATGTACCATATTTTGCACAGTCACCTTCCACCCACTATTCAATTTGCTAATTCTACGTAGGTTCTCTTAACATTTCGCACTAACCGTTTTTATGTCACATCCTTTCTTCTCCATTCTTTTCAAAAACTGCCTCTCTTGGCAACACCAAACTGTATAGTATAATGTGACTTACAAAATCTGAGTTTGAAGAATAAGAAAGAGCTTTTTGTCGCCTACTTCTTCGTCCTTTCATGTAACTCATGTAACTCAGTTTTTAAAAACCAGTTTCAAATATAGAGAGATAACCAAACAAGAAAGTGACAGAATTTTTACACAACAAATCTTTTTCTTTCGTCCTACTCATTTGTTGTTGAAGGGAAGTAACTTTTATGGCAGGAAATTTCTTAGAACAATTTAATTTTAACAGCTAAATTAAGCAAACAAGTGGGAAAGAATAGGTGAAAATGAAAAGTCCATTTCCATTTCCGAGTGTTTTTTAACAGTTTTCACGTCACGAACGTACGCTGCAAAAGACTTTTGTTGTACTTAGTTCTGTACTACTTTCAGATTGCCGACGTCAACAGTTGCTTTAATGGGGTTCCACGACTTAACACCAAAGTTTAATGAACTCTACACTGCACTTCAAGGGATGCACTTCGATCAGTGTGATTACGCAGCCTTTAAAGTCCTTTGCTTATATGAAGATTTCGGTTTGTGTTTTCTCCAAGTTTTCCAAAGTCGCCCTAATTATGTTACATAGATTTCAACTGTTGGACTAATGAAACAAGATGGTCAACACGGAAGTAATATTTGGAGAAAAAAGCTACTGTGATAGGAAATTATTTGAAAAGGTAAAAAAAAAAAAATCAGAAGGTGAAAAAGGATGGGAAGAGAGGGTAGGATGAATGGCAGTTGTACGAACTGATGTCGAAAATGACAGGCATAGTGTACACGCAAATATGCAGATAAATACACATAGCGAATCATCTTTATACTACTGTCATTATTCTTTTTTACTACATCGGAAACGATTTTGTAATTTTTTTTTTGCCTGTTGCGTAACTTTAGAAAGATGACTTTCCGAAAAAAATCCTTTTTTTCTTTTTTTTTGCTTGAAAGGCTCGTCAATTTTTATATTCGATTTGCGGCTCCGATAATTTTTATACAATTTTTTTCCTCCTTCGTTTGGCTTTGGCTTTTTTCCGTAAATCGCTTTTGTTCTCAGTGATTACAAAGTGATCAGTATCTGTTATTCCAATTTAATCATTCTTTTTTTTTT